TTTTTTTTTTTCTTTTTTCTCCTTTTTCACGGCGCTGCGTTGCACTACAGACACTTTTGGCACGACATCGGCTTTGACTTGTGCATGGCAGGATTAATGTAAATTAAAGATGTTTTTTGCCTTATCAAATAAAACGCTGACAGACTGTATAGTAGACCACTGTGACCACAGGGTTTCACAAACACTCAGGAGAGGCAGACAGGAGAGAGCTCGGTTATTATGTCTGGTTATTTAAGGTGTCCTGCATTATCGTTTGAAATAACAACAAACAAGTTCAACTGTTATTGTGACACACCCTAATTTCAAACTTTTCGTCAGCTTGGAAAATGTTTTTCTCCCCTCTTATGAGTCATAATGTTGATTGCCTTCTCCCTCACTGAGTCGTCTCATTAACCCTTTGTGGCCCTCTCCATCGTTTACGGCCCTCCACAAAACTAGGATGAAATGAGGGAGAAAAAAACAAGCCCAGGTCTGAAGGCCCTCAATAACCTTTTATCACAATTTAGCAATAACCCGAATCAATTTGATGTCTTAAGCAATAAAATATGCTGTTGCACTCCTATTTCTGCAGCTCCTTGGATGACAGTAAATTTACATTTTTTAATTAAACTAGCTGGAATTTTTATTAGGGGGCCGGGCTATGCTAATGGAAATGTTGTGTACAGCAGATTAACAGAGTTTTGAAATAAATTTAACAGGGAGACGTTTGGAGGGAAAAAACGCGAGTCATTGTCTTTAACCTCTTTCGTGCCGATTTCTCCTGGGGGATCCTTGTATTCTAAGGAGCCTTGTCAGGGAAGAGTGCTTCTCAGCAACGAGGTGATTAGTATCGCCTTGTCAACCGAGGAAAAACACTCGCATTCTGCACATTTATTTATTTAATAAATGTTTAAAATTATACCAAAATGTGAGATTTTTCTTATTGTTCACTTATGTTATTTGAATGTAATGAGACCTCACTCTCTGCTACTGAATTTAGTAATAGATGTGTGTTGTTGTTTTTTTAAACGGCATCTGTTTTGTTTTCTTCTCAATGTTAAAAATGAAGATATTTTATTTTAGCATTTTACTGTATATTTAAAAAAAACTTTAAAACAACAAACCCCTTTTATTTTTCCTTACCCTTTAATTCTTTTTAGATCTTCAAATTCATTTTCTCTATTTTACAAAGTGTCACATGCAGTAGTTAATGGCAGCGTATAGTGTTTGTGTAGTTTTATGGTCCGCTCTCGGTATTTGATTGATGTTATGCGAGGCTGTGTGCGTTATCCCTGGTTTTAGCAGAGTGGCAGGGGTAGAGAAGGGGGGACACAGACAGCAGACAAGGGCAGGGAAGTGTGTGTATGTGTGTGTGCACGTGCACACTGGTGTCTGTGCACGTGTGTGTGAGAGTGTGTGTGTGTGTGTGTAAGGGTGGGGGGGTGAAGAAAAAGAGAGGGACAGCTGAGTCCTGATTGAGCCTGTGCCCAGTCACCAGACACAAACCACCCAACACCATAATTACCTTAACCCCCATCTTTTAATACACAAATCACACCAACTGGCCTTTTTTTTTTTTTTTTGCCTTCACCGACAGGAAGAGGAAACATCAGAGATCAAATGATCAAATAAACTCCAGATGCACGTGGGCTGCTATGCATCTTGCCGCAGTAGCCAAAGTGTTCAGGGCTACTTGATATGGGCCAGGAGTAAGGCAAGTGGCATCACCACCCCCTTTCTTCACTCCTGTGCACTCATGCAGTGGCCAGCACCTAATTAAAACCTCAAAGCTCCCCGTCACCAATCTGGAGTAATGGCCTAATTAATACTTGGTGAAGAAATATTCCAGAATGATAAACAGGTTGCACCTTGGGTCTTCATTGCCTTTATTATCTAAAACATAACTTGCTAAGTTTTTATTGTCACGGATATTGCGTGTTTGTGAAGCTGCTGCACTCAGAATAGGAGTAGTGGAAATCCTGAAATATCCTTCGTAATTATGTTCCCTCAAAATGGAAGGCAGTCACTTATAAATTATACTGTAAATTAGAAAAGCACATAAAAGAAAAAAAAATTGTTTTTAATATTTCCCCCCCTCACACACATTTTTATCATCATAACCAGGAGAAAATAAATCTTTTTTCTTTTTTTTTTTTATCTCTCAGCTGAATGTGCCGTGTCATGTATTCTGGTGCGCAGCAGAGTCAGGAGAGATGCATCCAGTAACTTTTTTCCCCCCCTAATCTTACATATGAAATTATAATTTCATGCAAAGCGAGGGAGTAGAATAATCTCTGCTTGTTGATATGCTATATAAGAGGGGAAAACGGGGAAAATGAAGAGGTAATTAGCAGAGTGCAAGACTTTGGCGCATTTGTCTGAAAGCATGGTCTCCACTGGCCATGAATGAATTTGCATGCTTCGCTTATCGGGGCGCACTTATTAGGCCAGCTGAAAGAGAGATTAAGCCGGCACAAAATGTGGTGACTAATCCCTTTAAATGTGGCAGGGGGTCTTTAAGGTGTGAAGCAGGCCGTACGTAGGTTAGTGGGCATGGAATGTGGCGGACCGCAACTTCCAGCTGAATGTGTGTGAAAGCAGTCAGCAAACGTGGGGTTAACTATCTAATGACAAGGACAGTGATTGACATGGGTAATAGATTAATTGTCTATCTCCTCACCCTCTTATCTCTGGTATACATACAGCAGGTGGGGTCAGACTGGTTTGAGATAGTAAAAGAAATACTTTGCATAGGCCAGTATCAATTGTTTTCCTTTACATATATATATATTTACCACTGAGCACAATTGTTGGCAAGTTTAGTCAGTCATACATGTACGGAAAAGCAAAGCATAGAGAATAGTAGGTGCTGAAACAAATTGGTCTTCACACCTTGCTGCTGCTTTTTAGTGTTGAGTTTATCTCTCAGTTCTCTCAGTTTCAGTTTTCTGTCACCTTTCTCTTGACAGGAATTCTGGGCCTGCCGGGATATCTCTGATTTTATTTTTGATTGGAGGAAAAGAAAAGAAAAAAACAAACAAAACAGGAACAAACATTGAACCTTTTTTTTTTTTCCCGTCACCTTCACTGCGAGCAACAAAATGTTTGCTCTGCCGGGTTACACAGCCAATACTCCTGTCCTCAACCATAATTGACTGCAAACAGGAGCGTAGTGACGTTTAAACACTGCCCTGCTCTGTCTTTTGTGTCACCGACGCATCTTCCGCACGGTCCCCAACCCGGCACCCCTCGAATCCAGCTCCCCTTCTGCTGCGCGCGCGCGCGCGTGTGTTTTCATGTGACATTCTATTCACTTGGGTCAGTAGCAAGCAGCACCAGCAATAATTACTGTCTGTACATGATAAATCTGAAGCCCAGCTGTTCATTTCTGTCACAACAGAAAGAGAGGGGGAAGGAGAGGGGGAGAGGAGTTCAGGAGTATGCAGTTTGCCGGATTTCTTTCTTTCTTTTTCTTTTTTTTTGCTGGGTAACTTGATAGGATTACATGATTCTAGAGTCCACACCTGTTAAGAGGCTGTTAGCAGAACAGTTG